ATGAGATATCACACTGTGGGGGAAAAGTTGTTAAATATGGAGGCAAAAGATGAAAATCGATCTTAGCAATTTAAAAAAAAATAATGTCGACCTGGTCAGAAATATAAACAAATTTTTTTTTTATTTTGGAATATTCTGGTTTATAAAAAAAATAGGTAAATGAACTCAAACAACATCTGCACTATAAAAAAAAATGATGAGAAATACAAACTTAATAATTTGGTTTTAAAGGCCAGAGAGAACTTATAATCGTTTCCCATCCTCATATACACTTATTTTTTTTTAAGTTGTTTAATTCAATTCTTGGTTTACCAAATTAGATAGAATTTTTGTCCTCTTGACTACATATATGTATTAAAATATTTAAAAAAATAATAAAAAATGAAATCATCTAAATTTGAATCTGAAGAATCTACCTTTTCAATTTTTTTTAAAGAAAAAAACACTTTTTTTCCTAATATTTAAATGTACAACTTTTCTAAAAAAAAAAAAGGCATAAAAAAAAATGTTTATTTATACAAACAGATTTATAAAAAAAGTTTACAAAATTTACATGTACTTTTATAAAATTGTTTAAAATTTTGAAAATTAATGAAACCAATTGTCTGTTATTTCCTATTTGTTAATATGAAATTTAAAATCAACATATTTAAAACAAAAGCACTTTTGTGTGTTTTCTCAATTTATTTAATATATATTTTTTATACTTTCAATTTTTAATTTGAGACATGAATTTCATTGTTCAAATTGTTTTCTTAAATATCATATATGAAAAATAAAAAGTTTTATCAAATAGAAATTTTTATAAACATTTTGAAACCTTATGACAAAACATTTTTGTTTTAAAATATCTATATGTTGTTATTTTTTAAACTTAAAAATTTGAAATTTTCTTGAAAAAGAATAAAATTTAAAAAAAAAAAAAAAAAAAAAATATTTTATTATTTAAAAATGTATTGCTGGTATTTGCATACATAATTTTTTAAGAATAAATAAATAAACCAAATATTTTTACCCTCATTTCATTGATTTATCAAAGATAAATATTAGGAAAACAATAACAATCAGGTCAGGATGGACCTGGGAATTTTTTTTTTAAAGGAATTTTTCAGTTAATGATTCAAAATCTCCAGATACATTTCAACATCACTGTTTGATGTAGTTCATTGTTATATATATATCATAATATATATATATATATAAAACCGCTTATTTTATTATAAAAATATTTTGAATCTTGTAAAAAAATTTCTATGTTTGGAAATATATTTTATGTGATATTTTTGATTATTTAATGAAAATTTTGGGAAATTAATGAAATAAATTATTTCTTCTTACTATAAACATTCTATTTAGTGGATAAAAAAAATTTTTTTAGCCAAAATTTCAAAATTTAAAAAATTTTTGTTTTCGGTGGTTTAAAAGCTTTTGCCTGTTCTGCCTCTTTATTTTTAAATTTATATATAAATAATATATAATATATATGCCAAAGGATTCACTGTTTTTCTTCATTGTCATTTTAAGAAAAGACATCTATAAATAAAAAAAATAATTATATCTGCTCAATTTATATTATCCAAAAAAAATATATAAATATTTATTTATTTTATCAAAATTATTTTTCTTATATTAAAATAATTATTTAGTGGATAAATAATTAAAATTAACACCTCTGTTTAATTTTTTGTTTTTAACATTTAAAAAAAGTCATCTAATCAAAACTTTGTTGGTTGAGTCATTATTAAAGACCAATTTCAGTCACAAAGGACTATATTCATTTTGTTTTCTATGAATTCACATCTATATTAAGATTTTTGAAATATATATCTATATCAATTTATATTCATATCCAAAAGTAACTTATAAAGATTTAATGGAATTTTATTTATAATCCAACATATTTTCTTCTTACTATAAACATTCTATTTAGTGGATACATGTGTTTGAGTAGACACCTTTTTTCTTTTAAACCATGTAATTGTTGTCTACTGGTCAAGTGTCTCAATAAAAAATGTGCTTTCCTTCATGAGGGTAGTTGTGCCCTGTCTCACCATGTCTCCATGATAACCAAGTAATCTGAATTTAATACACCAGGTGTTGATGGTTTTCTTCTACATAAAAGGTTTAAATATATATATATAAAGGATTTTCTTTTCCTTTTATTTTTTTTTAAAAATTCAGGCTGGTAGTTGACAATTCTTCTTCATTCCTGTGATCCTTTTTGGAATGATTTTTTAATTCACCATTTCTTCTTTCATTTTTAGCTCTTTTTGTTTTTTGTTTATCCTTTATTAAACCTTGTTCCACCATCCATTTACCCAAGCTCATATGAATGTTTACATGTTGTTTTCTCTGTACATGCTTGACAGAATTCAATATTCAAGATTTTGATTTTGGGTTTCAATTTTTTCCAATTACATTTCTTCATCTAATATATTTTAGAAATTTTAACTACATATTTTTTGATTAAATTAATGTTTAGTCCTTTTTGATTTTTCCTTCACTATCTTCTGTAGGAGTTCTTTTAGTTTCCTTTTTTTTGTTCTTTATCAATCAATTTTTTTATTTTAAATCTTTGATTTAAGATTAATGACTGCCAATAATGAATATTTAGAATCACCATTTTTGTATAGGTTGAACAATTTCAATGAGAAAATATTCCTTGTTTTACACCCTTTCAATTACAGTTTCGCAAAAAAAAAAAAAACAGAAAGGTCTATTCTATGTATCCAGTAAATATAATGTTTATAATAATAAGGAATATGGATTTCTACAAGTTTGGAATGCAAGTGAATCTATCTGGCTGATGCTATATAACAGAAATAAATGAAATTTATATAAAATGTATAACCATCTGTAACACAGAATATTTAATTCAAATATTGCCAACTAAATTTGAATCTTACCATTTACTATAGAGTAAAAAAAGCACTCCCTGCGTTGCCCATGCTTGATTCAAAAATTGTATGACTCATTCAGCAATCGCTATCACTTGACTTAAAATATTTTTGCCCTTCCTTGCCTTTAAAGGAGTGCCCCTTTGATGTTGCTGATGCCTTACTACTTGCCTATCTCACACTGCAAATTTTTTCTAAGCTCTATACTAAACATTAAATCTGTTACGAAAAAAGAACTAAACAAAATGAACACAAAACGATCAGCTTTAAAAAAGGACTCGTAACTGGAAAAACCGAATGAAAAAGGAATGTTAACACAAATTACTTTTTCACACCCAACCCAGTTCTGCGGAATCAGAATCAACGTTGAGTTTAAACAAGCGAATGAGCCAATTGTAGTAAAGTGCCATGCAGATTTAAATTTTTCCCACTTGTGACGAATGCAGCTATCAATTTTTTTTGCATGCTAGCATGCTAGTTAACATTTATGTCAGTCAGCTGTTGGCTCTCACGCTGGCCAATAGAATCTTCCTGCCTATTCATGGCAGCCAGCTATAGGCTCTCACTCTGGCCAGTACAAAATGGTCACAAACTATATGAAAACTGCCGTAGAAGCATGAAAAAATCGATTAATTCCATTATCGATGGGAGTTGGGAAATGCAAAGTCGGTCTTGGCCTTCCCGCTAACTTGGAGCATGTGCATGTAAATTTTGGTGCAAATCCGTCAAAAATTGTAGCCGTGTATTCGTTACACACACACACATCCTGCCTTTTATAGATAGAGATTGGGAAGAAATGATATCAGTAGTATATAATTATCAATGATGTCAGCTCAGTTTTAAACTTGATGTTTGTAAATAAAAACAAAGTGCAGAATAACTCTTTAAGAAATCAGGGACTGATTTGACACTGTATTTATACTATGAAGAGGACACTTCTAAAATGATTAAAAAAATCAATATTTTTTTATTCTGACAAATGCCATGAGTATAGACAAATCTATTATCCCTGCCCCTGACAAAAAAAAAGTCTTTCCTGTTCTTTTACAAATAGACAAATCAGTTTAAATCATGCTGTCAATAATTAGTGTATTATATATCTAATCAGAAATATTAAATTTTTGGACTATGTACAAATTTACCATCTGTCGATATATCTGAGATGAGGTATTGTAACTATTTACATTATTTAAATTGTTTGGACTGTTCTCATCTTTATTGTCATATTCACAACATTTCGCCCTAAGCAAGCTCCGGCCTTCTTTAGGTGATATACGATGGAATTTTGAACCAAACCCAAATTTATATTCAAATTAAACATCTAAGCAGCATGCGGAAACTTTGAACTCATTCTGAAATTATGAATAAAACAGAATAAAATTTGCACTTTGGAATTGAATTATATTCAAATTATTAATTTGCAAGTTTCCTTCAGCCAATCAGAGCACATCTCACAGAAAAATCAACAATTTAAATATGCTGTGTGTACTGTGAATGAACACTGAATTTCTCATTGGCATGTGCAAAGATTTTCAAAATAGCCAAGACAAATAAGCTATCTTATAGTTCATAGAGTGATAAGAGATTTTTCATAATCATGGAATGGGGTACTGAAAGATCTCCAATGAATTTAATATCTTCACCAGTAGAAAAAGAGTTCTCATTTGAAAATAAAGGCAATATGACCTAACAATAACTATTTCGTGAACAGGACATCATTGTAAATTAAGTAAATGTGCAACTATATTAATTCGTCAGAAAGTCATGTAAAGTCTCATTTAATATTTGTTCATAAGCATCTGAAGGAGCCTTTTTTATTCAGGACTAAAATATCTTGGTCTGGAAAAACATAAACTGAACTCTTCAGTGGAAACCATTCAAAACATACCTGGAGAAAAAAGTGCACTTTGTATAAGCCAAATTTGGTCAGATAATTTTTCCACACTTTCTCATAGATAAAAATTTGACTGTTCTACATAAAGTGATAAGACACAAAAGAATTGTTTCTAATCTTTGTCACTAGAGGTGAATAACAACCAAATCAGTCTGTTAAAAAAAAGAAAGAAAAAAAAAGGAGGATAAATATAAATCATTGTTACTTACCCTTCAGCCAAAGTTAGTTGCTTCAACTGTTGATCAAAGTTCCACATAAGTATCTTTCCATCTCCACTGACACTGACAAGCTAGTGAAAGGAGGATTTGAAAAAGGTCATTTCAACCAGAAAACAATACATTTTCTACCAATTTTATCATTTCTTTGAGGGTTTTTCATTTGTAGGTTTCTTTTATTTTAACAGGTTTTGCAAACTTTATCTATCTTTATTGCTTTTGGATACGTAAATATGAAAATAGCAGTAATTTTTCAAACAAAAGCTACAGAATAAAAATAGCAAAGGTTCTATGCATTAAGTTTTTTTCATTCAATTCTGTATATCACTTTTGAAATATGGCAATATAAAATTAAACAATTATGGTTTCATTAGAAATGATTTTACAAAAACAAGAGTAGTATAAAGATCACTGGAGTTTTTATGATAAATAAACTGTTACAGATAAAAATACTAATTGGCTCCTATTGGGATATGAATGCTTAGTATAGCTACATTATCAATAAAGCTAACCTAAAGTTCTTTATTGATATAAAGTTTGCTTTATTTTTTAGGAATACAAAATTTTATTATTGTAGTAAAAGCAGTCATATTAAAAAAAAAAACAATATAATAGGGAAACAAAAAGCAAAATGAAATAAAAAATAATATAATTACAATAAAGAGATAAATCAAAAAGCAAAGAAATGCACACACACACACACATACACACACACATATATATATATATATATGTATGTATGTATGTTTTGTGATGCTAGACTCCCACTCGTTCTAACTTTCATTAGGTCAACAAATGCTCGTTATCATTTCTGAAATTGTAGACAAGACTTTGTAAAGGTAGATACTGATAATGATAACACCTTCAAATAATACTCACACTAATAACATCTGTTCAAATAGTAATATATAATGATTAGTAGAGAGAAATAGTATAACCGAATGTTTTATTGATTTTTAGATACTTTGGTTTTAAATTTACTATAGTTACTGCTCTTTATTTTCTGATAATGTCGCATATGGATGAATTATTTACAAAAATCAGCATGTTTATACACACAAAAAAATTAAAAATTCAATTACTAAATTGTTTAAATTACTAGTTGTGGAAATATAGTATGCTTTTTCTATTTATGATTAGTAAATATAGGTTTTACTTAATAACAATATCACTTAGCTGGTACAAATTAATATGGAATTTTAAAAGATTTAAACCTTTATAAATTATTTGAATTAAAATTTTTAAAAAATGAAAATAATTTGTGTAAAAATTCATTATTCATGGGGAAAATTTTTTTTCTTAAGACAATAATATCCATAATATGTCTTATTCATAAAAGCAATTAATAGCTTTTCTAATTAAATGCCTTAGTTTTATTGCATTCAAAATGTAATGTCCAATGCGACACTTATTTCTATTTTATACTTCTCAATATGAAATAACTACAATATGAGATCAGTAAAAAAGAATATAACATTTTATTCAATAGGAAAACAACAAACTTTCACCCCTTACCAAGAACTAATACAAAGCTAATATAAAACTTACATACAATTTTGATAAAGTTTCATTATGGATATAACTATATTTCTATATGGATATAATTTATATTATAATTCTTTGGAAATCATAAAAACTAAATAAAAGGTACAGATATTTCCATAATAGAAAAATATACATGAATCATTTTATAACTTTGAAAAAAACAAAACTGAAAAAAAGGAATTTTATTGACATGAAAAAAACAACAAAACTAAAATATTTAAAATTAGTTAATTAACAATATATGACTGTCTTGTTACTAGTAATTACATCAATCTTTATTGTATATTAATTGCATTTTGTAAATTCTCCATAAAGTTATTTTTTACTATACCATTTACATGATTCAAGGGTTATTTAACTGAGTGGTAAGGAATCTAAAAATAGCTTTACACAACCAAATCCATGGGATTTTTCATGTTTTTACTACTGTTACAGACTCATGAATTCAAATTAATTTAATAATTTTTAATCAATTTTCAATATAAACAGATTTTGCTTGTTTTTCTTTCATACTCTAAAAACCCATTACTTAAATGATAAAAAACAGTTAATTTTATAAATTTACATATTAAAATTTGCAATTGAAGTTTGAACAATTGTTAAACAACTGATCTGGAGTTGTTTATATTTTTTTAAGATACTTTTACGTTGGGTAACTTGGAACTTCAAGACCATTAGCAATCTTAGATCAGACTTCAAAATGACACCTTTTCTTTTAATCTTTTCACCTCAAGCAAGGCAATAAAGTCACTAAGATGCAAGAGGTTACTGAGTACGAAAGAATATGAGAAAATGAAAATATTATTAAGAGAGAGAGAACAATAAAACAGGAATTAACAAGACAGAAGATAACGATTGACATTGCATTTAAATTTTTGAAGATCAAAGTTGATTGAAAAGAATAAGCTGGAAGAGAGTTCCACAAGTGAGAAGTGCAAGAGAATAAACTATTAGCATAGAACTTATGTTTACATCTAGCAGCCATTACAATGTAAAATGATGAGATGTTGCTGCTAGTCTAGTACTTCACTTAAATTCATAAATTCAAAATCTAAACAATTAACATGAGAAATTTATTTATAGAAAAGGCACAGGGTAGTTATGTAACCACAGTGGAATAGTGACTGAAGCTGATATGTCAGATCAGGACTAATAACATTGCTGATTTTTCTTTGGATGTTATCAAGAATCTCTAAAAATATAGCAGAAGCATCAGACCAGATGTGACAGCAATATTAATTTCCTGGACAGATGGTAGACTTTTTTCTTTTTCAAATCAGTGTCACCCCAAGCAAGGCAGTACAGCCACTAACATGCAAAGGGTTACGGGGTGTGGAGGAATTAGAAACAAAAACATTAGTAATGAGGAGAAAGAGAAAATAGGATTCAGGAGGACAGCAGAAAAATATACATGAATCATTTTATAACTTTGAAAAAAAAACAAAACTGAAAAAAAAAAGAATTTTATTGACATGAAAAAACAACAAAACTAAAATTTTGGCATCACATTTAAATTCTTGGAGATTAAAGTTGGCTGGAAAGCATGGAGACAGAATGGAGTTCCACAAGTAAGAGGTGCGAGAAAAGAAACTGTTAGTGTAGAAGTTACTCCTACATCTAGCCCACTTAACTGTAAATTGAAGCGATCTTGTCGCCAGTTTAGTATTGTGCTCAAATTCAGTCTAGGTACCATAGCATAGGGCTTAACCAAACAGTTACCATAAAAGTATTTATTAAAAAAATGATGGCATCAAATCTTAGTATTTACACTATACTCAACTTTTGTATGAAAAGAATCCAGGTGTTTAATATGAAAGTGCTCTTGGGTAACATTTATTTTTTTATAATCTTAGTAAACTAATGGAAGAGAAAGAAAATGTTTCAATTTAATCTTATTCATGAATACATGATATTTTCCACTCCCTAGACTTCCTTCTTTCCAGAGTAAGAACAAAAAACAAATTTATACTTTTTTTTTTCAGTGAAAAAAGATACTACACTTTGATTGTAGTTACCTATGAATTGTCCTACAATAATGAGTGTGCTATTATAAAAGATAAGGAAATTAACTTAGGGAAAAAAAAAAGAAAGAAAAGCATAGATGTTAAAATTGTGTTTATCAAGCACTACCTTGTAGCTTTTACCCCGACTTTGTGGATCAAGAATCCACTGTAACTTAGCAACAGGTTCACGGTGAGAATCACTGTGTCCCATGCCACAGCCACCAATTAAGGGGTCGTCATCTACACTGAGGTCCCACAAAAAAATTTCACCTGTAACAATCAACAAAAAATTATTTGGTTCAGAGATGAAAAATCACAAGCAAGCAAAGCAATGATTCTCAATATTTATTATGTAGATGAAAACAAAAATTTGCAAATATAAATATATATATATACTAATGTTCCAAAAGTCATGAGATAAAAGTAATAGTAAGTGGTGTTACTATATCTTGATGCCATGGAGATGCTCAGATCTATATCAGTTGTTGTGTTCTGACATCTTGCAAATCAGTATGAACATTGGCAAGGCTGCTCATAGCAAGTTAACATGAATTATCAAATAGGGTTCAAGTTCAAATAGGTTATGATAGTGGTGACAAATGAATGGGACATTTCATTTCTGGAATTGATGCAACATATCATATGAGACCTTTTTATCTATGGTGTCATGTGTGTAGTAGGAATGCCTGATGGAAGGCATTACCACCAACTATTGACAGCACAGCAGGGGCCAACCATGATATCTGGCTAGAATTGTGTGTGCTAACACATACGTGAAACTGGCACAAATTACATCCACTATCAATGAAGTAGGTACCAGATTCGTATTCAACAGGTTGGTTCAGCATTCTTTAGCATTCATGGGATACAGGAACAGAAGATTCACCAGGGTAGCACTGTTAACACCATGACATCAGATACAGAATCTCACCTGGGATTGTTACACTGCTAATTGGATCCTGAAGGACTGGCAATGTGTGGCATGGTCCAATAAGTTACAGTTTCAGGTAAACAGTCAGGATGGGTGTAGGAGCAAATCCTCTTGATGCCATGGACCCAGGCAATGTGCAGGCTGATGGTCATAAAGGTGTAAGATATGTTCATATTACATGGGTTCTGCCCACTGGTTTCCCATAACACGTCAATTATCGGTAAGTATTGTTGCACCAATTGCACCCATTCATGGACTCCATATACTCCAAAAAATGATGGGTCATTCCAGCAAGATAATGCACTGTAGTGTCAGTTGCCCAGAATTAGTTTGAGGAGCATTCTGGAGATTTTTGATAAATGTTTGCTCAACATGATCCCAATCAAGTATTGATGGAAAGTGGTTGAGAAGTCTATTTGCATGCAAGATCCTGCACCAACAACAGTCTAGAGAGCTGTGGACAGCCACTTGTGGAATCAATGCCACATCAAGTTGATGCACAAATACAATACACACATTTATTTGATGACTTTTGGTACATCAGTGTATATAAACTGAAATGCCAAAAAATTAGATGGTTTTTGTTCTCTTCTTATAGAAATGTGTGTGTGTGATATAATAGGTAAAGAGATGGTGTAGTTGCAGCAGACATAGGATGTGGACAGAATTAAACATTGTTTGACCATGGAATGATTGTTAGAACCATAAAGATGAGACACTATCTCCAAAGTGGCAACTACCCTAGGTTTTCCTCTGGCAATAGTAGCCAGAGTAGACTAGGAATTTGTGAACTTCAGACAGATATTAGTAGTTTTAGCTAATTTTAAGGGGGCCACATCATACAAGAATTTACTCTGTCTCCCCACTAATATGAGTTGTGACACAAGGTCATTTTTTTAAGGTGGGGTACCTGAGCGCATACAGCCGTGCAATGAACAAAAATTGCCTGCAGCCACTGCAACCATTAGTTGCGCTGGCCTCGGTGCAAGCACCAATCCCTCTTTCTGGTGCAATGAGAGGGCACGGCCTTGGGCAACTGTTTCCCAGGGTTGGGCACCTCTCAGTATAATTTTCCTCAGTTGCGACTCTGTCCTTTGACAGAGTCACCACTGAGTGCACTCTGTCCAAAGACAGAGACACAACTGAGAGATGATAAATAGATGTGTTACAAACAACTCAGGAGAGGGATTTACACACTGGGGTCATATCATACATGAGATATAAAATTAGTGTATATACTGCTGGCCCTGGCTACACTGCTGACTAAACTATATATCCATTTATTGTAGTCAAAAAGTACAGTGGTATTTAAAATAAACATGATTTTTATAAAAGTGATGTTTTACTTAACTGTATCACATAATAGTGCATGTAATATTCACATATTAGTATCATATTATAAAATACAAATATAGCGAATATGCATCTTTTCCATTGTTTATGTTTAGTTATTCCTTGTTCGGTTGTTTATGGTTGTATGTGTTTATGCGACTAGTGTTAGTAACGATACTTTTATCATTCCCTTTTACTTTTTTAACTTATTTAACTAGAAGATGGGATAAAGAGATAAAGGAAAAGAGGTTAGTCTATTTTAATTTGGTCTCTCAAAAAAGGAACTCACATGATAAATGATAAAGTCATTTTTTATAAGTGAAAATTTGGGGGTTGCACAATATGCAAGATTGTGTGTTATACAAGTATATACGGTACAAAAATATATAAACTGATACATATTGATATTCTTTTAATACAAAAGAAATTTCTCAGTCACAAATTCATGTCAAAATTCATACAATATATCACCTTTCCAAATAGAACTACTGCTGGCAAGTAAAACAAGAACTTTTGATTCATCTCACTACAATGTGAGATCAATCAAAATTAAAACAAATTAAATCAAATTTAAAAACAAAAGCAGTAGAAAGCTGAATGAGTTCAGCTAGGTTACATTTCTAGATACATCGGATGCCAAAAACTCGAAATTTAAAGTAACGCATCCCTGTATCTTCAGCATTGTAAAATTGTAACCAACATTTGTTGTAGTTCCTTTGCTTCCTCTATATACAGGGTGCAGCAGAAATAACTTCCACATAATTGTCAGGCATTAGTTAGATGAAGACACCATTGCCACTAATGTCAAGCTATATGTGTGAGGTATTTTTGTTACATATTGTATAGGATTCAATTGTTAACAACCTTATGTAGTCTGAAGAAGTCCTTTACAAAAGCAAACAAGTTTTAAAAGCTTTTCTCTATTATCATGCATCTTTATATATTATTAATATAATATTTTAATAATAAATGGTATTGTCAACAGTCAAATACAGAAAAATCTGGAGATCATTTTTCGTAGATGCAATCAAACAAAAAAAAAATGACAACATAACAAAGAGATGATGTAGCTTTTTAAAAATAAAAAGCAAAAACAATAAATATTATAAAAGTGATATAAAATACCATTAAAGTTTCCAGCAGCCAACCAGGCTGGATTATTTGGGTGGAAAGCCAGGCTCATTAAACAGCAGGACTGCTCAAGGACAGTACTAGCTTTGTTTCTGTCCAGTGTACGACTGTTGATGTTCCATGTGCAAAGGGCAGATTTGTGTGTACACCAGTTGTCATGGTCAAATCGGCCATAATTAACATTAATTAAGAAAAATAAAATCCTTTAGATAATAATAAGTATAGCCATTTGAATTAATCATTTCATTTAATAAAAGAACATGTTTTCAAGATTACCATTAATTTTCTCAAGCAGAGGTTCTTTTGAACCACTGTAGAGGCAGTATTAATGTATGGTGCCACTGCCTGGACATTAACTAAAACCCTACAGTCTAAGCTTGATGGAACTTACATTCAGATGCTGAGAGTTATACTTAAAATCTCCTGGAGACAACATCCAACTAAATCACAGCTATATGGACCCATCCATATTTCTAGAATCTTACACAAATGCAGAATGTGCTTTGCAGGACACTGCTGGCAAGTAAAACAAGAACTTTAACCTAAGAATTCCAGTCATGTTCTTAAAAACCCTGTCAGAACTAGATTCTCATATGGATGCTCTTAAAGAACACTATCCTTCATTGGATCTTGTAAAATGGCACTACAGAATTACAAACATAAATTTAGCATAGTAGATAAGGAAATTGAATATAGAATAAGTTGCACTAAGAGTAGTTTCACCCAATACCACATGATGCTACACAGCCAAAACATTAACCTAAGAACTTGAGTCATGTTCTTAAATACTCAGATCTAAACTCTCATATGGATGTCATGCATAGCATCTAACACCTTCAGAAATGTCTAAAAATTGAATATAGAATAAGCTGCATTAAGAGTAGTTTCACCCAACACCACATGATGCTACACAGCTAAAACATTAACCTAAGAACTCGAGTCATGTTCTTAAATAACCAGATGTAAACTCTCATACAGATGTCATGCATAGCATCCAACACCTTCAGAAATGTTTAAACTATCATCTACATACAGCTGTTCTCTCCAATTAATGATTAAAAATGGCTTCAGATAAATGTGATTCTTACGGAGAACTGCACATCATCAGATCCTACAGACTGGCAACACAAATAAAGAATTTTATCAAATAATAAAGACTACATCATTTGAAGACTTCCAAAAGCAGCAACAACTAAAATAGATAGCCCATATAACTCAAAGAGAAAATAATGATATAATCAAGATGTTAACTTTCCACACCACTTCAAATAAAAACTTAGGAAGGAAATTCCCCAACAATACTAGAAAGAGCAATAACATGAAGTGACCTTAAGAAATTTATTTTCTTGAAAAACTGTTTTGAAAGATTTTATAAATTTCAACTAACAGTAATGCTAATTCTTCGGTCAATATATACCAAATGTTTCCTTATAAGGAAACAGCTAATCCCACTCTTACCAAACATTACAGTTGTAGATTAACTGCTTTATGATTTAATGCTGCATGCATAAAGCATACAACATTTTGTTTAGATTAGATTTTATTTAAGACTGTTCTTTGATAAAAATTTGAACTATGAAACTTTTCTTTTATGTGTTGTATCCTTTCAAAATGTGTACTCTTCACAACTTCCTATCCTTTGAAGCTCTTAGTAATGTTTATCTTTTTACCATCCCCACCCATTCTATCATTGATTCCCATAAGCTTGTCAAATAGGTTGTTTGCTGCCTCCCCTTATCTTTGCCTTTGATATTTCCTTTGAGTGTCAAATTTTCCAAGCCTTCCATCCTCATTATATGTCCAAGAAATTTCAGATGTCTCCTTCTGATTCTGAATATGTGTCCTTTTCGCTTCCTTTTTCTTAAATTTTTCCTGTTGCTTACACACATGAAGCTACTATTTAGAAAACTTTTACAGATACAAATATATAAATTGTATTACTAACATGTGAGATCAAAAGTTAAGATCACAATGATAATCATTTTGATATAATACCACATATGTAGAAAAAATAATAGCTACTTTGAAAACAGAAAAAAAACTCTGCAACTTAATATGTATAAGCAGAATTCCCATCATAACGGGAACATTTTTGGTTATTTCTGAAAAAAATATTTAAATTTAAAAGTTTAAAATTTCAGCCTCCCTTCTCTTTTGTGCACGTGTTTAGTTACATTACCATAAACATCATTTTCGTCTGATTAAATCCTAAAGGACAAAACATGTCACATAAAAATATGTTCACACACACACAGACGTGTGTGTGTGTGTATGTATGTGCATGTATATAAAATTATATTTTTGGTCACATTTTTATTAAGAATATTTCCATATGCTTAAAATTTTCACAAAGAGGTAATCAATAAGTGACATTACATTTAATTAAACAAGTGAAATACTTTTGAGGAAAAAAGTAAGTTTACACTGTATTACGTTAATTTGTGATATAAAACCAAGATTTTTTACCCCTTTAAAGAGCTGTAAATTTGTATTAGTTTTCTCTTTCTCTCTCTCTCTCTCTCTATATATATATATATATATAGAGAGAGAGAGATAATAGATAGTAAATAAAAACAATTCCAAAATAGTAAATGCTAGAAATGTGAAACTTCTAAAGCAGCTAAATATGGATGATGATAAGAAAGAGGAACTTAACATAATTTTCTGAAAGATATTTTTTTAACTCAGATCATCCAAGCTAAAACTGTAAATGACTTCCTTAGGATTTCCATATTTTCAAATTTTGTTTGAGAGGATATGAAACAGCAATAACAGAACCAGAGGAATTCCAAGACAATCCTGTGACTTGTAGCTGTAAAACAATAAAATTGATTTTTAGTTTCAATTAAACATATAGATTGCAGAATTGCTTGATTTATAAATATGTAATCACAAAAAATAATGAATTTTCATCTCATTCTTCTTCCTAAAATTGTTGTTAAAATATTAAGTAATCTTAATATCTTTTTGTACATTATAGGAAACACATAAGTAAAATTTCATATTAACTTGATGCAAAATTTATTTTATTTTGGACAACTTCTTTTAATCATATGAATTCATAACAACAAAATATTTTTAAATTCATAGCATAAGGTATTTTTAAGGGATTACACAAGCAATAAAGAACTGAGTAAACTTCAAAAGACATTTCCTTATAAAAAGATGTGAACTTTTGCATCAACTTAATAGAAGATACAGAAAAATTACATTTCACTATTATCATATAAACTGAAGAGATTTATCATTAAACAAAAAAAATTAACATTTGTAGAGTGAGTAGCCATTGTTAAATGTAAATAAATGGCAGAACTGCCCAACAAATAAAATTGACAAAGTTTGTGATAGACAAGAAGAAGAAAAAGAACAGGGCCAAAAATAATATAAGGCAAACAATATATGCAAAAAGTTCACAATCTAAGAATTGGCATTGACCCACAAAAGCAAGTTCAGATAAGCAAATGCAGCATTCTGATTTCAAGACAAACAGATCGGAACTGAGTCAGATGAAATCGAGAACCAGACTATTTTATTGGCTAGGAAGAAATCCCAGTATGCATTTGTGTGCTTCTGCTTATAAATTGGGGAGGGGAAATTATTTTGCAGCCATTCCAACTAGATTGAAATCAACATTTATAAGACACATAATACTGAGAATTAAGATTTATTAGAAGGATTAGATATAAGTATATAGCTCTAAATATAAAAGTAATTAGCATAAAATGATTTGTAATTAATTTTTGCTTGATCTTAGGTAATAAAAATTGACAGCAAGATGAGAACAATCTACCTCCACAGATTAAATAAAGGGTTCAATTCAAAAGTGCCTGAAAGTTACCCAGATCAAAAAAGACTTGAAGAAGGCCAAGGACTGAAATGTTATGACAGTGACATCTAAGATGAGAACATTAGTCCGATTGTAAATAATGCTAACTCCTCATCCTAGAAGTTCACAAATAAACTTAATGGAATTGAATTAAGAATTTCTACTAGAAATAACCATGAATTTTGTACTTACTTCTTCTTTTAATTCAGCATGGGTGAGGATGTATTTTTCACATACTGCTGTTGACTCCTCTTCCCAGCTTACTTGGAAACCTATTGAAAACAATTACAATCTATAAAGAAGTACTTCAGTATAATTAAATTACATGATACAATTTGTTATATTTTATACCATGATTGAAGAGGCTATTGTTGGAGTAATGGTACCAATGAGTATGAAAGGGCATTGTGTGAGTGTGTTGTCGAGAGTACCATAACTCACATTAATAGAAAAAGAAAGAGACAATGGAGATGAAATGTTCTTAAAATGAAAAGGAGGATTTATTTATGCTTTGTCTCAAGCAATATACAAAAATGATTAGCGAGTTCATCTAGGGATTCTATCACGTGTGTAAGTGTTACTACAGCATCATTCTTGTAGATTAATTGATTGATTGTTTTTTATGACTTATCAACCTATTAGATGTTATTTAAAGTCAGAAAATATTTTTTAGATTCAAAGAATTTTTTGAAGATAATAATGATTTACTGATGCAAGTTCTACTAATTAACCCATAGCTGGGAGAGGGGTAGAAGCAGTAGATTCATAACTTTTCCATGAGCATTTTCACTTAAGTGAATATAATGGACCCAACAGAAATTGGAACTCAGCTCTCCAATTTCCAATTCCAACCTATTATCCATTTCTTTTCTTTTTATGTGCCATAATCCTTTCAGGGCGTAGGCGATCATGGCTCTCCAACTCCCTCTATCCCTTGCAGCTCTTAGCTAGCTCCTTCCCTCTACTTCCACCACATTCTGTCATCCACCTGCTCAAGCTCATCAGGTATGTCACGCACTGCTTTCCCTTGTCTCCCTTTCCCTCCTTCCTCATTATGTGTCCCAGAAACTTCAGCTGCCTCTTCTTGATGTTAAGTATAGGCCTCCTTTTGGTTTGCATCCTCTCCAAGACCTCATCATTGTTCACATGCTCAGTCCATAATATCCTCAGCCTCCTTCTGTAGAACCACATCTCCATCACCTCAAGTCCTCTTCATCTTTGAGGAGACCATGCAACATTCGCACCATAAAGGAGGACAGATGTCATATAAAAGCTCAGTACTCTTTTCTTTGTTACCAAAGAGATCCTCCTATCTCACAATACTTTGCCCAGCTTTTGGAATGCGTACAGAGAAGTAATGGGAAAGTGACTGGAGGCAAGATGTCAAGTCAATGCCAATAATATTGTAGATTATTCTTTGGATTTTATCAAGAATCTCTAAATACATAGCACAAGCACCAGACCACATGCATGATCTTCATCAAGTAGTAAGAGAAGACATTTTTATTGCATTGTGGCCTCAGCTGTTGATGTTAGCATTGGACTCCTGGAATCTCTGTGTTTGGCTTCAGTCATTGGCACTGAGCTTCAGTTGGCAAATAGGTGTCTTCTATGAATGCTTATCTAAAATGGATGCGGAACAAGTAAATGACTGGTAGCTCAGATGAGCCTTCTGCTCCAGAGTCAAATTGATAGCTCTTTATATAGTGTTGGAGTGGCTTGAAAATGAACAGTTGCTAGACTTTATCTGATTGGTCAGAAAATATTTTTATGACTTTTTAATTATTCTTTTTTTGTCCCAGAATTGGATGTGCAGAACCAGCCTAAAAGTAAGCCAGTTTATGTCATTTAAATCATGGCTCTCGGGGTGAGCACTTCTATTTTCATTGACGAGCAAATGAAGTGGCAGGCTACTACAGGTCTAATCATAGTTTGATGCTCCCTGATAGTTAGGCTTTTTATTTTTTTTCATTTAATGCAACTAATTTACATCATAAAGGATTTAAAAGTATACAAGTGCATCAAGTATATAGATATGAAGATATGAAAGATATGACTATAATATCCGACCAATGACTTGTCAAAGGATTAAGTATTTACTAGATAAGCTATAAATTCTGTTTAATAATTGTTATGACATCATTTATTTTAACTTTTTTCTTTCACTTTTTAATAAGCAGGATTGGGTGCAGGACAACTCAACACTGACAACTCAGCACCAGAAAAACATAACTTTTTTATAACCAAATAAAAGTAATTTATTAAGGATTAAAACCTTAATTAATGAATATTTTTCTTCAAATAAGGCATTTGAAAAGGCATTATGTAACATATGAACTAGTTTTTGTTTTTATTTTTAATAAAGTAAATCATAAAGAAATTTATTTTTTAATAAAATAAATTGACATATAAAATATAATTCAATAAAACACACTTGTTTTTAATTATTTTTAATAAAGTAAATCTAAAAATGCAAAACAAAATGAAGCAGTTTTTGTTTTTAATTATTTTTAATAAAACAAATCTACTGACCTAATTTAAAAGTAAAAAAAAAACTACAACTGTTTTCGGGTGTTTTTAAAGACCAAATGTGATTTGCCCCAATAAATAAGATTGGCCAGTTTGATGAGAAAAATAATTCTTCTTGATAATTTGTAAAGTTACAAAAATCTAACTGAAAATTCAGTTACATCCAGCATAGAAAGATATGAAAACTCTGCCAAAGATTGACCTAAAACAGAACCAAATGGAATGATTTTATTCTTTTGGACAATTCATGATGAAAAATATGGGGTTTTGTAGATACAACCTATGGATGCATGATGGGTAATTTTATCTTTTTCTAATGTCAATATTAGTTTATAAATGAATTATTGAAAATTGACTTTATACTTTTAGCTATTACTTGAATATACATCAGTTCAGCAGACATGATCAATTATAAGTAAAGAAATATAAAATTGAGTATCAGTTGACTGATTTTTATTCTGGACCTATCTTCATCCACACTTGGACATTTTTGCATTATTTTTATTCCTCAGTAAAAAGAAATAGAAAACAAAATTTGAAAACAGACCTTTGAAGGCTTGGCTTTTAGCATTTTTATCAAGTTCTTTGTAGAGCAAGGGTTCAATCTTTTGGAGAAATGCTGCTAATTCAGGAGAGTCATCTTGTTGAATGTGTAAATCTGAAAATGTCTGTGGAATTGTCTGACACTGCAATAACAAAATTAAAAGTGGAACAACCTTTAAATATTTCACAAATCAATTTTGATAAAAGTAACAATTACATAACCACATTTACAGTATAGATTGTAAGGTGATTATCTTAGGATTATTTAACTTTTACTTAAAAGCAAACATTTGAATATTTTTCCAAGTTAACAAAAAATAAGTAAAAAAAAAAAAGAAAAAATCTGGGTCTGCCTCATGGTGCCAGAGTTTACTATTCAGTCACCTTTTAGAAGATTCAAAATGCAGATTTTCTAGGCAGATAGTCTTGTCCCACTTACAAGATTTCCTTTGTTTCATTTTGCAACATATTAACTGTACTCTTGGAAAAGTGATACAGAAATCTGACAGTATATAGAGATAGTAAAAGATGTACTTCCAAACATTTTTTAAAGTACAGGAAAATTTCACAGAAACAAAGAAAAGAATGTTTAACTGCTATGCAATATCAATTCTCTTATATGGCAATAAATGCCAGACAATTTCTTCATGGATGAAGGAATATTTAAAGAAAATGAGAATAAAAAGAATGTTTTAAGATCAGAAAAAAAAAATGGTTAAAATAGCTGGATCACATAATAAGGAAAGAAGATTTGGAGAATTTGACACTCATAGAATATACTAGGCAAGATCAGTAGAGGTAAACATTAAGTAACTTACCTAACGAGGTTGAGTAAATGGATGGGATGAACATGAACTAAGGAGGATAGTAACTTAGCTTAGTGCTACAAAGGATTGGAAGTTGTGGAAAACCATGATCAGCCATGTACCAAAGGGACACAGTCTATAGAAGAAGTAAAGATGTCCAGTATGAAATATAAATGTGTTTGTATGTATATTTTTAAACTTTAATTTTTTATTAATTTTAATTAAGTGAACTAATTTTATGTTAATATTACTTTGATTTAAACTCTTGGGATAACCTTAAGAGAAGTTTTAAAATTTAATAATTCGCCTTGGCTTGGAAGGGGGTCTAGAGCCTTATTTGGCAACTTTCCTAGAGATGTTGTCTTGATAAAAGCACCCAGCCTCATGTGTTGTAAACAGGTTAATAGGAGTAGATAGGTTCACCTATCGCCTGGTCAGTACTCCTTCCATGTTTATTGAACAGGAGTAGAGGTTTATCCCTTGTTTCCTGTTTAGGATATGGTTTACTGGTTCTTTTTTTTCATGACCATAATAATTTAACTGTCTTAACTTTTTGGTGATCTGACTGATCAGTGGTTGTGACTTTTCATTATCAGTTTTCTGGTTGCTGCTTCTGACTGGTAGTAAAGAGACTGAACTCTTTGGTAGTGCTTAGAGAGGCTGCTATCATCAAGTCGCATAATATTGGGGTATTTGTAGTGCCATGTTGTGCATGGTTATGCATCCCTGTATTTATTTCTGATGGGAAAACCTGATGCCACCTTATGCTTTAGTTTGAGCCACCTTGTATGCAGTTTGTATTGCCATAGATGGTAGACAGTAATAATTATTTGGGCATTTTTCTTCTTAGGATAGATACAATGTATTGAAATACATGTAAACAAAAAAAAATCACCTACCCCCAACTCAAGCTTTCTTCCTCCAATATTCATAGCATTCTAATTTCTATAATGTTGAATCTTTTCTCTTGAAACAGTTTCTAGATGTCTTTGCACTTTGCAAAACTAATTTAAATTCTATCACTACCAATGAATTCTCTGTTCCAGGCTATCTTCCGCTTTGCCAAAAAGATTTTAGCATACATATGCATGGCCTCTGTATTTATATTTGGGAAAGTCTCCCAATTGCCAGGGAATTGTCTCTTGAGTCCCCAGATGATTCTTTCGTGTGCTTTCAACTTTTATTATTAAAATGTGTTCCTAAACTGTCTCCTGCTCTTTCTAAACTCTACAATAAATGCCTTGCTGCTTCTTGCTTTCATGCTTGTTGGAAATCCTCTTCTGTTGTTCCAGTCTTTAAGAACTCAGGCAAACCATCTGATTCTTCTATTGGACTATTAGTCTTTTACCACTTTTTGGCAAAGTATTAGAGACATTAATTAACTCTGAATTGGTTCAACATCTCACATCGCAGGACTTTCTTTCAGATATGCAGTATGGTTTTTGATTCTCTAGGCCCACTGCTGATGTGTTAGCGATTATTGCTGAAAGAATCTATCAAGTTTGAGATAAGAATAGTGAGGTTTGGGCTGTTGCTTTGGATATCTCAAAGGCATTTGACAGGGTTTGGGATACTGGTCTTCTTTACAAGTTGTATTTTTGGATGAATTTTTAAACCAATTCAGTCTTTCTTATCAAACTGCAAAATGAAAGTTGTCTTGATTAGCCACTCTTCTAGATCTTTTTGAATAAATGCAAGTGTTCCCCTGGACTCACGTTATTTCTAATTTTCATAAATGACCTTCCTGATGTTATCAGTTCTCAACTCAGTATCTATGCTGATGACACAACTACAACAGCTCCTGCTATATATTTAGAGATTCTTAATAAAATTCAAAGAAGAATCTGCAATTTTGTTGGTCCTGACCTGGCATTACGACTTCAGTCCCTTTCCCACCACCCTAATGTAGCTTTCCTCTGTCTTTTCTATAAATAGTTTCATGGTAATCATTTTTATGAACTTTCTGCTATGCCACCTAGACTTTTATGAATTTAAGTGTAGTACTAGATTGGCAGTAAGGTCTCATTATTTTACAGCTGAAATGGTTGCCAGATGTAACCATAAGTTCTATGCTAACAGTTTCTTCTATCACACATCTAGCATAAGGAACTCTCTTCTGACTTCTTGCTTCCCAGTCAAGTTTGATCTTCAAAAATTTAAATACAACATCACTCATTATCTTCTGTCTTCTTAATTCCTACTTTTTGGTTGTTCTATCTCCTTAATAATGTTTTGTTTTCTCATATTCTTTCACAGTCAGTAGCCCCTTGTGTCTTAGTGGCTTTATAGTGTTGCTTGGGGTGAAATGATTAAAAAAAATAAAGAATGGGTATATTTTGCTTATGTGATCTTACTCTACAAGTACGAAGACTTAGAGTAATAACATGTTGAAAAATTGTCATCTTTTGTATTCTTAAATTTTGTTCTTCTATTGACCTCACTCCTTAATAGTATTTTTTCTTATATTCTGTAACACTCAGTAACCCATTGCATCCTAGTAGCTTTATTGCCTTGCTTGAGGTGAAATGATTAAAATAGATAAGTAAAAAAAATCACGACTCAAACCATTTATTTATGGCCCAGTGGATAAAAGTTTTTGTTGAAGTAATCCAGTGACTTGATCCAAAGAATTGTGAGTTCAATACCTGGCCACAGCAGAAGTGAACAAAAAAAGTTACTAAAGGGAAATGATGGAAACCTAGATATCCAGGGAAATGCATGGCATGTGGAACTAGAACATTCTACCCCAGTGGACAAAATAAAATGTTCAGTTTGAAATTCCAATCTATATCACCTGAAGAAGGCCAAAGTGCTCAATGGTTGAAACATTGTGAATATGACAATAAAGATGAGGACAACAGCCCTAACAGTGTAAATAGTTACAATACCTCATTTCAGAAATATAGACACAAGTATAATAGTTCTTACACATATATTGCAGCAAAATGTCACCATTTTCACCACTTTTCTCTGCAAACATGTATGCAGACATCAACTGACTTTAGCTTGTTCTTCCAGTTTTACTTGCAGACAAATATTCCAGGCAATGACATAACCTCATGAATCTAAAAGTTATCAATCAGTCAAATCATGAAAAAATGATGCAGATATCAATGGAAAAAGGTTAAATTATCAATTGATGATATTTGCTAAGCTTCAATGGATGATTGCCGCTGTTTAATGATTAAGATTATTATAGTTGCAAACACTATGTATTCATTATCACTCTCATTCTCATTATATGGAAACTTATTTGTACTTTCTTGGCTCACAGGGTCTGTACCAGTTCCTGTTAAACTCAATAGGATTCTTGTATATTTATGCTTTTGTTTTCTTTTTTAACATTGTTTTATTCATAAATCTTCTGTTATATAAGCAGTTGTTATAAAATCTCATACTTTATACCTGATCTTATTTTTGGGTGAGGGCATGCTGATCTTGTTATATTCAAAGATTTGTTTCATCATGGGCTTTATCAGTGTAAGCATGAGAATTAGATTATATTATGCTTGACTAACTACATTACAAAAAATAAAATTGCAGAAAACTACACCTACAACACTTTTTTTTAATCATTTCACCCCCACCCCCACCATTAATTATAGGTTTCTACCAACAATCAATTAATGCTTACCATTGTATTTTTGGGACAATGAGCATTTATATATTAAATCTCTAACCTGGGACACAGATTATAATATCAAACATCTTGAACTTTGGAATCATATTCAAAGTCATATCTGTCAATTTGGTCATGGCTGGTGCATATTACCCATGATTGGATTTGTTTTTTTTTACCTACATTTATATATATTACAAATTAAACTAAGCACAGGTCACTATTAAAGGATGAAAATATTCTGTGAATTTTGAGGTAATTCTGTGGTCATTTTTTGCAGGGTGTCCAAATCCATAAATTTATTTTGTTCATGCCAAGTCTTGAAAAGAAATGATGTTGAATGTGTTAAATTATTCAATCTTTTAACATAAAAATATCATCTAATGATGATAAAAAATGATGCGAAATATTGTTGATTTATTTAAGATGCAATGATCTGTTATGACATGTCTCTAATTTGTATTTAGATACATTGTATTAATTTTCAATTTTTTTAGTTGTATTGTTCACCTATATTGCATATGAAACTTTATTGTAGATAATTAAGTTACAATAAAATTTGTATTTTATATTAATACTATCTCATGAAAATTGAGATCTAGTAGAGTGGGGGGTGGCTGTATCATAGATTCGTGGGTGGACCATGAGACCCCTGTACCAGCCCTGAGTTTATATATATATATATATATATATATAGCAGCATGGTGGAGTAATGTATTGTGGTACAGATTGAGGAATTGGAGAGTCAAGTTTGAATTCCAGTAAAATTCTTTACATGCATTTATTACACTTACTACCCTTGAGAAAGCTATGAATCTGTTGTGGGGCTCAGTAATGCATTAGCCTTGTTTGAATGATAGTTTTAAAAGGGTATCACTCAACCACAACAGGATTGTATTATTATAAGCAAAATTATACATGAAATATCAATAAAATACAATTCAAAAACAGTTCGTATTTTATAGGCATAGGAAAAATGATAAATTGATTTATTATTTCAGCCTGTCAAGTAATACACAATGAGTAACATTGAAGGCATTTATTATAATTCAATAACATTTTTAATTTTTTCTTTACAATGATGAATTTGAGAAATGTGTTTCATTTTAATTTCTACTTTTTTAGTGTACATTCAATAAAAGTCTTTCTTTTATATCTTACTAATACATTTCAAAGAAATTATCATATTCTTCAAAAAACATGTACATAATTTTGGTGGTAAAATGTTTGTTCTAATGCATCATGGGAATATTCTACATTTTATTTAACTTTTTTGTAATAATCTAACTTTTTCTTTTTCATTTATCATTAATTATTTTAGTTTCAGACTACTACATAGTCTACTAATAAAGGTTGGGGGTTATTTAGTAATTTATTTATTGCTATCATTACAAATCCATCTCTTCTCCACCACCCATCACAGCATAACAAGCAGGACAGGCTGGGTCTTATAGCCTTGTGTGGCAATGGATTTAGGACAACTCTGAATTCAAAACCTGAGGAGGGTCATTGGGGAGGTGGGCTTGTGGCACACTATGTGCATCAGTTCTCTAAGTGTGGTTGGTTTTGTACAAACTTTCACCATTACAATCAAATCATATGTGCAAGTAGTCTGGCTGTTCGGTTCCAAGAATTGAGTTACTGTGCCCTCATACATCTAAAATAATGGAAGAATTTAGTGCATGCATATATATATATATATATATATCTTTCAAAATCCTCTGCACTGTCCTCAGATTGACACCCAAACACTTAAATATTCATATTGAAGGTTCCAATGCAAATACCAAGCAGTACAGCATGCAGTTTCCAAATTTCTGGCAGAGTGAATTGCATCATGGTGCTCTTTTTCTCACATATGGTGTCCAACTGATCCTTCTATACAGTATAGTCAACGACAAAATTAAAAACAAACACCACACATAGGCAAAATTAAAAATATAAACTAGCGACAATTTACCCATCGCACAGTGTATAAATAGTGTTCTAACCTTAATTATTTGTATTACTTTTTACATCTTGTTTATGACAAGTATTCTTCTATCTTACCTGTTTCTCTGTATAATCACATAATTGGGTTTCAGCTTCCTTACATTTCACCTGTTTTGTCTGACTACCTGATTCTTCTGTTTGCCTGTAAAAAAAATTGTCTTTTATCTGACAGGTAGATAAGAAATACTTCAATTTGAAAAATTTTCATAAAGTATTTATATTCAATTCCCAAGTCCTTTTGGAGAAAACTCATCCAGGACATTCTTTTTCCAATCACCCCTTTTATTAAATATTTAGAAAACTCTCTCCCACTTCTTGATTTAGGATGCAAGCATTCTATGACAAAGCATTTCATTACTGAAAATTATTTTTAGAATTTCCAGCTATCCCTTTTATTTCAGCCACTCCATATATTTGAAACTCAAGTGAACAAGCCAAGGAAATTAAATCCAATTTGCTCATCAAGAAAAAAAAGTAACAATGTAAATTTCAAATTCTCATAAAGATCTCTCACAATACAATCTTACTAGATGTATGTTCTCAAGGTCTCTTTCTGGATTACTTTAAAGATGTACAGTACACACAGCTGAAGAGTGCTGAAAAATTCTCAGCCTGACATAGTTCTCAAAATCTGTATTTTAAGATTTTATCATTGAAATACTGATTTATGTAATTATATAAAGTACAAAAAGTAAATCCTCTTGCTTTCAGAAATATGTTTTTTTTGTCACTTTTATCATGAGATGTTCTCCCAAACAGCTCTTCTGAGGGCTATGATGTTCAACAAATTATTTCAGTTATAGTTTTTTTTATCTTATCAATAACAGTTAAATTTTAACTCTTAAAAATATCTATTGAGAATATTTCATTCATGACTATATCTGAGATGCTAGAGTTCTTTTTTCCTTTTACAATGATGTTACAAGGCCCAAGAGCCACTCGAGTTAGAGAGTTACAGAGTAAGAGGCACGGTCCCAAGAAAGGTGATAAATGCCCACCATGGCGCAAGGAGCCACCGAAAGTGAAAGAAAATGAAAAGACTTTAGACAGAGGGAACCAGAGACCCAAACTAAACAGGAAACAAGTTCTTAGTCGGATTGTACAAAAAAAAAACAAAAACAAAAAAAACAATGGAGACTGTTTTTTCTAAAAAAAAAAATTTAGAAAAGTTTTATGCACATAAAAATGTTTGTTTATTTTTATCATTATTTATCTTTCTTTATTATATCTTGTCACAATTCTGGTGATATTTCATAAGTCCATTATCGCAGCTAAGAAGTGTTTTACTTTTAAGCTAGAGCTTATAAATTAGGAACACTACAAACAACTTAAGTAATTTAAGGTTAAGAAGCGGCTTATCTATCAAATATTAATTATTAGTTTTTTTTTGTTTTTTTTTTAATAATTAATACTTCTTCTGGATAAAATGTAATAATTTATTTACAAATATTAAAATCAAAAAATAACTCCAGAAACAAATAAAGAAAGTAACATTTGAATTTTTTATAGACACTAAAACTCACGATATTATTTAAATTCGGGCCCTAATTAAATCATTTGAACCAAAATGCTAATCTTTAAAAATCACTTAGTTACTTCTTTTAAAATAAAAATATTTTTGAAGAGACAATTAGATAAGCCAAGAAAATGATTCCTGAATGCTTATGTTTTAAAAATAAAATTATTCAGTCATGAGAATCTATTGTTTTTTTTTTTCTACAATCTCGAAAAGAAAACTAAAACAAGATTGATGCTTTCAAAAATATAGGTATAATAAAAGCAATTTGATTTTGAGTAAATCAAGTGTCAATGTAAATAAATTAAATTTCCAGTCCACCAATAAACAGATAAAAATATCTCCATTTGTTCTTTAATGCGAATGCCAGTAGTAAACTCAGAAAGGCAATGCATTATTAAAAAAATAATTCATCACAGATTATTATTATTATTAAGTCTGTATTACCAAGGTAAAGTAAAATTTTAAAATCGAAGCTTTATTTCAATTATACCTTTGTTGCTTCCAGGAAGACTGAAAGCCGACAGCACCAAGATTTTCATCAGTAAACATACTCCTTTAACTACTATCGGGCTTCTGCTTAGTTACGGCTTGCTCGTGTCGTAAACTAATCTGCTTAACCACAGTCTGAGTTTCATATTCCAGTTGACTGTTATCAAACATTTGACTAAAAAGTCTTTCAGAAAAGGAAAGAGTTCTACAAATTACAATTTTTTTAATAAACTCAGAAAAAAAAAGTATGTTTAAAAGTATTTGATATGTCGTAAAATAAAATATAGACCTATTTACGTCAGCTTAATAATGCAAGAATATATTCGAATCTGTTTTGAAAATTGATTGTGGTGTACATTAAAGGACGAAGATGTACTATCCTCTAAGTATTTAATGGGATAATATAATTGTTACTTCAAAATCTTAATATTGTATATGGCTTTGCTTTTCCACTATCGTCTTTGTTTTTTTTTGTTTTTTTTTTGTTCTTCAAACAAATTTGAGGAGTGAGACAAGAAGCGTGTATTTTTTTTTTTCAAATCAATTAACCCCTAGCAAGGGGATACTGTAAGAGAAGGAGAAGGTAAAGACTTTAACTTAAAGTTTTTAAGGAACCGGAAACCCAATTCTAAACAGGAAACAAAGATTAAAAACGAAACATACTCCTGTTCAAAAGACGGTTGAAGAGTGTCAAAAAACCGGACAATAGGCGAACCTGTCTACTTTTGAGGAGAAGGAAACTCGCAGTACAGAATTGATGCAGACTAGAAGAGACCAGAGTAAATAAGAAACTGTCCAAAAGAGCGGAGAGGAGTGTGAGCCGGGTAGTTCTTCAACTACGACGTGTCAGGGCTGCATTCATACCGTTACTATTTATTTTAAAATGACAACTCTTTCCATTTTTTCACCCCTCCACCTCTTCACTCAACCCCGACTCAATATAAAAGTAATAAAAATTAAGTTAAATAAAAACTGAAAGGAAGCAATGGGTTTCTACAAGTTGGGTTGAATTAAAGTGCATGTCTTTCAGCTGCGGGTGCAATAGAGGCCGGCTAGTAGATTATATATTCTATTAATTTTTAACTTCGTATATGTTTCGATATCTCCACAAGTTAAAATTGATCGGAAGATAATAACCCCAACCCTGCTGGAATTACCACATTTTTTACCTCTAGGGAAAATATACATACTAATAATTCACCGTTCAGTCCCAATTTTGGTCGGCAACTGTTGTTCATGCTAGTAAAAGAAGGTTACAAACAAAATATACATTTACACATTCTAATAAAAATAAATAAATAAAATCTGGTGCAACAAAATCAAAATAAGAAAATTTCTCTGTTCTTCTTTTATTGAAACTCTCCAGATTACTCTACTTTTTCGTATTCGAAGATGCTTTGTCTAAATTTCTCCACCTACTCCATCCTTTTTTTTTTCATTCATTAGTTCCAAATATCTCTTCTTTTTCCTTTCCCCATACACGACTGCTAAAAGAATCTTTTGCTCGATGACCAGTATTTTAACTTTTTGGAAGGAATAATATACACTACAGAATATTTTGAAAAATATACGTACAACTAATTCACTGTTCAATCCTATCAACGACTGTTTTTCTAGCAAAAGCTGGTTATATCATAGCCCTTCGCTACTCCGTTCACATGACTAAGGGTAAACGTTATGTCCATGTTATAAAATAAAATAAGACATATCTCGGCTGATTTGCAGGCAAATAAACTAACATACTCAAGAGCAAGAGCCGGATGTGAACGGGACAAGGCCCCGTCACAAAATGACCATTATCGTCGTTTAAGCATAAGCCCAACGCACGAGTTCCAGTCAAAAAATAAAATAATATTTTAAAGTGTTCCTATTTCTCGACCAATAAAAATGCATCCCTCCTAATTATACTCGCGTCGTTTTCGAGCCTGTTAATCCATAAAAAACGCCATAAAAGGAGTCACACGGGCAGTCAACAGGAGGCTCAAGTCTTGAACGACAGATCGGTTCAACTCCTCCCTTCGGGCAGGGAGGAACCCGAAGGAGGCTACGCCGAAGGGCGGATTCTCTTTCAGGGGGGGGGTAAACCGACCCTGAACCCGTTCATACGGGTTCAATGGGCATATTTTTGGCCGAGCCCACGTTAAAAAGGCCTTGTGCCACATGACGCCCACGGGGTGGGGGTGACTGAATATTGTCAACAGGAGGCCAGGGAAGAGACCTGTCACGGTCAGACTGAGCGGTCGGCAGCAGGAGGAGCGCCACGCCAACAAGTGAAAACTACTATGAGAGATCAACCCAGATCGGAAGCCGGCTTATGAACTATACTACAAGGTAGCTGTCCCAAACCCACACGTTCCTATTGAAATAAATCACGTAAATCTATTTCTGCTGTTGAGGTATTTCCTTCTTGCAATCATATGCTTGTCTATAACATCCATGACTTTCCTTCATTGCGTTTCCACACTCCCTTCAATTTAGATTCATTTAGTTTCATGATAACCCTAATGACCTTTTAGTACTTTCGCTCTTTCTGGTCTTGGGCGCCAACAGTGAACTACCTTAGCAACCATGAGTTTTCGCTTACCTCGCGATTGATTTGTAACGTGCTACCTCTCAATAACATAGCCTTCAGATGGGGCGGTGCGGATTTGTCCGACTGTCATCGGTGTGACCTTGGTTTAGAAGAAACCGCTTCCCATGCTTTCTACCATTGTCCTCAGGTGCGCCCTTTCTGGGATTAGGTCGGCATGCTGACGGCTCGTATTGCTCCCGAATGGCTTGTGTCCATTGATCTCGCGTACGCCTATGACAATGTGTCGCCACTGTTCTCCGAGGTGAAATGGATGATGTTTCTCGCGTTGCTAGCTGTGGCAAGAATGGTGATATGGACGTCGCGGATGGAGGCGATCTTGCGATATGAGCATTATTCTCATCAGCATCTGGTTGGATTCTTTGGGCATCAGCTCAGGATGAAGATCAGATCTGATAGAAAGCGTTTGATATCGACATATTTCAGCAAAAGGTGGGTATCTATGGCGAGCCTCATTCGCGTAAATGGGGCCAGCCTTGATTTTCTCTTTTAAGTCCCCTTGAGCACAACGGGGCGGTTTCCTGTGAACCCTCTCCTGATTAAGTTAGACTGTTTTATGTTTTCCTAGTTAATGTTAATAAATGTTGTTCCCGGCACTCTCTTTTGTTATGAGCCATGTCAAGATTCCCAACCTCCCCAGTTTGTTTTTGTCCCCTATTTTTTCCCATTCCACAGTTTAATTTTTCATTCCCCAACTCCGTTAGTGAGTTTACTGCTTGATTCTGTTGAACGGCAGAATACAGTGGCCACTCTCATTATTTTGAGGGATGGACGGGTCCTAATAATTAATGTTTTGTTTTTAGTTTGAATATTTTGTTGTATTTTTAGTTTCGTTTTCTGGGTTCATTCCCCCCCCACAACCACCACCATCATTTAAAGCACCAAGAAAATTTTAATATATTTTATTATGAACTGCACAATTTTTTTTTTTACATGATGGGTTGTTTTGTAAGTTCCCCCCACCACCACGTGTTATGTGGTATTGTGGTATGTGTAGGAGTGAAAGCTGATGGACAAGTTCTTGTGGTGATTGAGCATATTGAATGAATGGGTCGTGATTAACTAGGACAGTTACTGAGGACAAGCCTTTCACCACTTCCCCTTCGGCCTTGTGCCACAACTTTTTATATTATTATAAAAAAAAATATATATACTATTGAAACTGTCCAGATTTAATTTACAACTGAATTTTCCCTATCCTACTTCTCATCACCAAGTAAATTACAGTGACAAGAATACGTTTATCAAAATTCTGCAAAATTTAGAGGAATTTAGAAAATGTCTAAGTTTATTTAGGGTAGCGTCCAGCCCAAATCACATTGACTACTTCCTTACCAAAATGTCTGGAGCCAGAATCTTACCTAAATTGTACTTTTCAAATACTCCATATTTGGTCCCGAAGAAGCATATGCATCGGTAATGGGAAATTTGGAGATATTTTATTTTTTTTAGCTATTTCATTGTTTTTACTGGTGTACCAGGAGTTTTATTCTCAGAACATCTAGTGCTATTTTTTTCTATTTTCTTTTTTAAATTATTGATGTTCGGTTTTCAGGAAATATAATTAAAAACTTCAAAAAAAACAAATCATCAGAAAATAAAATTCTAGTGAATAACGTTGGAATAAAATTTAAAAACCGAAAATTTTATATTCGTATTTTTCGCATATTCATCATTATAAAAAATTGGACATTTTTAATTTTTTAAAATTAATTAATAAAACGTTCGCCCTTTTTCCGTACAGTTGAATAAAATATCCGAAAAAGTTTCTCTCACTCTTTCGTATTTTCAAAGTCAAAATTACGTATTTTGTGCTCGGCTTCATATCGCAAAGAAGGGCTAAAAATGGAGGATATTCAAGCACGTGTTCAGGGAGCTGTGAATTCCATGATTTCACAGCTTGACCAGGAACACCTCAGAAAAATGCAGGTATGATTTTTACAACACAACCTCAATGAGCAATCGTTGTTATTAAGATCGGATACTATTTTTTAATCAGAGATTACTAATTTAAAGGGTGTACTGTAGGCTATGTCATCACCGGCTCACTGTACTAAAAGAAAAGCACTTTCGTTTTATAGTCGAAAGAAACAAAACGAATTTAAAAAAAGACAACCAGTGTTTAAACTTTAAAGTAATACTAAATAAATTAAATATATGGACATTCTCAAATTATTCACCCTGAGTGGCCCTTCCGTTTCGTTGAGAGTAAAATAGTCAAAAAAATAATTAGAAATTATTTTAGCATTTTTTTTTCAAAATAATGCTGAATAATGTGAAGTTATGAAAAAAATTAAATTAAAATTACATTAGAATATTATCGTCAGTCATTTACTTATCAAGTTGACTTCTTTATTCTTTGTTGAGGTCGTTTAAGCATTGGAATTTTAGCGGAGATTTTGACTTTCCCCCCTTTACACACTTTTATCAGTGACGTCCCTTTAAACAAAGGACACGACAATATTTTAAATGAATTTCCAAAGTCCTAAATTAATTTAGTATACCTTGTTTAATATTACTTATTCTCATAAAACATTGATGTTAAGAAAATCAAATATACAAAAACTTTGATTAGGTTATAAAAACTTTCAATATAATTTGATATGGCGCTTTTTTTTCTTTTTTAAAACTAATTGGTAGATGCCAGGTAACGGTGCACGAACTTGCACCGATTTCATTTTTGATTTCTTCCAAATAATTTTTCTGTTAAAAACGAAAGTTATGATTAGGGATGTGTGCCAATGACGAAGTGTAAAATATAAATTTAAAAAAATTACTCCCTATTTATTTAAAAGAAGATTGCCTCAAGTAAATTACGTAAGTGAAGCCACTATGAGAAATTAAATTAAATTTTTAAATAAAATGTGGGGTTTAAAATTTTAGTATTTTTTTTAAAAAATGATTCTTTAAACCGGATTGTGTGTGAGAATGTGTATTTTTATTTATTTTTTATCATGCGGTTTGGTCTGTTTTGTTGGTCTGCTTTCTGGCATTCATTTCTCTCGAAAAATCTTTTTAAATTTTTTTTGACAAATATTAAAGAAGAAACAAGAAGAGTTGCTTAGTTAGTCAATGCCAAATTGGACCCTGAGTTTATATCCGTACTTATGTTCAATTTGTTATGTAAAGTAAAATTGGACCATGAAAAAATATGTTGAATTTTCTCACTGGGTGTTTTTTCATCACCCCTCGAATTGAAAAAATATCTTCATGTGTTTTTTACTTTTTGTTATTACTCGGTTCCTGTATTTTAAAATTAGGCAGTCGTTATTGAAAACCGTAAAAAAGAACCACTACATAGAGATACATTTATTTAGTTTACGTTCTTATTTTTATGCAGGACTAAACTTTTCTTTTTTTAAAGTATTACTCACACTGTGTGACTGTAAAAATTGACGCCCCCGACTAAAAAGGAAACTTGAAAAGTTTATTTCCGGAAAGAAATATGAAGGTCATATTCTTTGAAAGTAGATAAAAAAAAAAAAAAAACAATAATTTAATTGTTTGATAATAGAAGAAATCACCTACACAGATAACTTTTTTTTGCATGATTTTTTTTTTTTTAATCATAGAAGCTCTTGCCACAGAAGTTCTGGTAATTCATTGTTTTACTTTTAATTTTTGTCATTGTAAAATAAATGTCGGCTTATGTATTTATTTAATTTTTATTTTTTTTTTAGCCCTCCGGTTTTATTCCAGAATAACCGGTACTTAATGCAAAGCCTTTTAAAGTTTTATAATTCTTCTGAATGGAATTGAATATTAAATTTTCCACAAAATAAAAGAATATTTCATTGTAGCCAAGGGGGAGACACAGTGGTTCGGAATGAGAAATCGGAAAGCCAGGTTCGAATTCTAGTCAAATCATTCATTTACGTGCTAATACCCTTGGGAAAGAGATGAATTCTCTTCTCTCCCCCCCCCCGGTTCTATACCGCAGAAAGAAATGTCAACCTACTGTGGGGGAAAAAATCTGCCTCGTCAGTCATGTATTGAAAGATACATGATCGCCTAAGCGTGTATCACACATGGCACATAACTGACTGACTGACAGGCATATTAACTAATAATCCTTACTCCAATTTGAGAGATTTTTTTTTCTTTTTAACTGTTTATTAAGAAAAATTAGAGTAATAATTTATAACTTTGTGGTTAAATTCATTTTAACTTCCAAATCTTGTTCAGATAATTGAAATCCTTTCTGCTCTCGCTATTTATATAAAAGAGCTGTCCCTTTTTAAAAGCCAAACTCAAAACCTAAGGGACTGTAGCAAAACGAAATATAGAAAAATCTATACTCTAAATGTGTTTGTAGAATGTGCAGTATTGAGGGATAATGATGAGGAAACACATATTATATTTAACAAAACAAGATAAGGAAACAAGATAAAGAAAAAAAAAGGAATCAAATATTTAAAGTTAGTTTTGATGAATTGTCAAGAGAAAATATTCATATTAAATTAGGTACCTCCATGAGATTGCTAAAAAAAAAGAGCATAGCATGATGAAAAAGACGTTAAACTTGACGAAAACAAAATTTTATCATCTAAATGTTTATGTTATTATTAAGAGGAAAGATCAAAGTTTATTTTAATTATTTTTTTTAAATTTTTCCTTCTTTTTAGAACATTCTGAATTTTGATTTAAAAATCCTTGTTTCTCTTTGTATCACCGGAACTAGTAAAATAACATACAATTTTTAGTACATTTTTTTTTGTATGACACACATTAATTTGGAAAATCTTGCAAAAATAAAAATAATTGTCTGATGTTAATGAAACTTTCAGAAACTATTCACAGATGATCGAAATTATTATAAATATGTTGTTTTTTTTTATTGAAGTCATGGCAGAAATATATTTTTTTTTGTATTTATTACCCCACCCATAACTAATTTTAGGAAAACTCTACAAATTTGATTGAGTCCACTTTAGTAATTACAATAGTTAAAAGCACAAGGCTTTGAGGAATGCAAATCATGTTTTTTTTTTTGTTTGTTTTTAATTGGAACTCCCCCAAACCGGAAAGTCAGCTCTGAATTGTAACATACAAAACTCAATAAAACAAAGATATTATTTAATTTCAAATGCTTTTATTTGCTTTTAGTTGTTTTTATAAATATGGACAATGTTTTCTGAAAGCAAAAACTTTTTTGATGAAAAATGAATTTTCAATACAATTATTTGTTGTTATTTTTTTAATTATAATAGATTTTTACATTTAAGTTGTTAAAATATTATAAAAATAGTTAAAAGCTGCATTTGCTTTCATAAGTGTCCTTATGAGATAGATCTTTTTTAGCACAGTGTAAATTGTATCACTTTGACTAATCAGAAGACTCGCAGTAATTAAGAAATGTAATTTTGTGTTTATAATCAGGCTGTAATTATAAAGTATGGAAGACCAACGAGAATACAATTAAGTTGCATTATTTGAGTTAAGTATTGTTCTCCGCTGTTAAGGGCTTTACTTTTGTGAAACACACGTGGAGAAGTTAATTTGATTTTTTTAATTTCAACTGAGAAGGGTACCTACAAGTGTCACTATCATCTTATGAAATTTATATGATCTTATTTTTATATTAATCTCAGTTATGGCATTTTTTCCATAAATGAAATATCAAAATTAATAATAAAATGAATGGAAATACAAATAACACAGTAAAATGTAGTAAATGTACATAAAATTATAGTATTTTATGTAGACTTCTGATAAAATTTCAAAAGAAAGGTACCTATAAATTAATTAGATACCTTTCTTATGAAATTTAATCTTACTCTTAACAGTTTTATTTTAATTTCTTTATAATATATTTTCCATAAAGCATCATAAATTTAAAGGTGAAAGCTAAGTACAAAAAAAAAAAAAAAATTAGAGCGCAGAAAGTTTTCCTTAAAAATAACTAGGTAAATGATTTGTTCACTTAAATCTAAATAATTTCACTTTTCTCCTTCTGTGGAACAAATTATCCTCACGTAATCCGTCAATACGTCATTCATCACCTGTCAAGTTACGCAAAAGGTTATGACCTGTTTTGTTTTATTTTCAAACTACATCTTTTCGGCACAGAAGCTAAGTTAAGCTTGGTTCAAAATGTTTTAAATAAACATTATAATTTCTAATTTTCTTTTTTGAAAAAATGATAAATGATTTTTAAAAGAATTTCAAACTGAGATTTTCATTTTGTTTTTTTTATAAAAATGGTAAAAAATGGTTGCAATGATCGCTTATCTGTCAATTTTGCTAACTCAAAAAAAAACGTGTTAGGAACGATTAAAAAATGTAAAAAAAATACCCCCAAAATACTTTGATCTTTCCTCTTAATAATAACATAAACATTTAGACGATAAAATTTTGTTTCCGTCAAGTTTGGCGTCTTTTTCATCATGCTATATGCTCTTTTTTTAGTGATCTTGTGGAGGTACCTATATTAAATCATTGAACACAAAGTAATATTTCAAAATGATTAAAACAAATTTAGAAAGTTCGTTTTTCAAATAAAAGTTATACAGTTGTATTCAACATGAATGAAAAATATTTTTTTAAGGTACTTAGCTTTAGAGTTGAATAGAGTTCTTTGAAATTGCCCTGCTCTCATTTGAGGCTGACTATATATCTGTGTAATTTGACACTAGTGTTATTTAGAAGCATGGAACTCTGGCTTTCTACCTTCTGCTTCTTTCTGCTTTTTTTTTCTCTCTCTCTTGATTCAACTTTCACTTCTATTTTTATCAAAAAGCAATTTCACATTGGCTCATTACTTTTTTCTCAGTTTGTGAGCTGCTCCCTTTTTCATTGGTCAAAATAAATTTTCACATAGGCTCATGAACTTGAAAACAGTAGAGAAAAGAGTTATTTTTATTTTGTATTTACAGATGTAAGATAGTATCCAAAACGGTGGAAAATTTTATTAAAGATACATTTCACCA